TCAAGCCTCTGTCTGTAATCAAGCCTGTTCCTCTGGTGCTTGGTACTTAGTTATCCATCTTGCAGCTGCTGAAAGCCTTCTTTGCCTCCTTGGAGGTGCTCAGGTCCCTGTGAAAATCCCACTCTCAAGAACAAGCTCCAGATGTGAAACTAGTTAATGGAGTAGAAGGGGAAAGAAAGGGTTCTTACCTTCCTTTCAAGATTGAAAACCAACTATTGCATCTTGTCCCTTCTGTTATTTGCCTGTAGTTGCAAATAACACTGGCTGCAAAAGCCCAAATCCCTGCCTAACAGCATCAGGAGCAGAAAGCCCCTCTCGGATGGCTGCACTTTTCCAAGGAATGCATTTTGGCTGAGGTACTCCTAAGACCAGAACGAAGCACCTCCTTGTGCTGAGATTTGCTGAGCTGGGCAGGAGAACAGGGTCCCTGTAAGTTCAGCTGCTGGTGCTTGAATCTCACCACACAAGCCCTAGGTGTGGTTAGCCGGAGTGATGCTCAATGGCACCTGCCTTCATTGACCCCTCTGGCTTACAGGTGCCCTGTGTTTCCCATCCAAAGGTATTTATCAGTTCCTTATTCCAAAATACAATGAACTCAAACATTTTTTGAGTTGGATGAGAGATGAAGGTGGAAGAGTTTGACCTTCTTGATCCAGACAAGAGATGTGAACCTTAAGACACCTGCTGCAGCACTAGGTGCTGAGCTTTTCTGGAAAGCTTTTTGATCTTTCCTGTCATCCTTGTGTGAATAATTAAACAGTCCCTAAGAAAAGGCTGACTGCAGCCTGGTAGCCACACACAGTCTTGGTTAGGAGACCCAAGAAAGAATCCTCCAGTCCTGCCTACTGGTATGAGAGACTGGGCAGGTCGTAGCCCACCACAGTTCTTTGAAAAGCTTAAGAAGCAGAGCTATCTTCTGGGTGAGCCTGGAGCAATGGCTCACCTCTGATACCATGTTAGTGAGGAAAAATGATTTGTTAGAAGTCAATAAACACAGTGACTAATGAAAACACCATCCTGGTGATGGAGCCACATGAATGTGGGTGGGCATAGCTGACAATGCAGGAGGTATGTTCAGCTGGAGTCAACTCCAAGCAGCTGGTGAAGACAATACATGGCTGACTCAAAGCATGGATGACTTCTAGGGAGCATCCACTGGGATCACGGCAGCTAGTGAGCCCTGATACTGCTCCCAGCTCTGTGTCAAAAATGTTGTGTCAGCAGCAGAGGTCTCATAGCCACATAACTTTTTGCCAGCCTGCAACCAATATTCACACTTGGTGCTTTGTGCTCCCATTCCTCATGCAGCCCTGCCTGTCCCACCAGTAGCCCCCGGGCTGGCCGCAGGAGGGTGGCAGAGGAGGCAGGCAGATGTTGAGAGCTGTGAGCTGGTGGGGAGCAGAGCACGGCAGCACTGGGACCAGCCTGTCCCATGCTGGGTTCAAACCCATCCCCTTCCCCATGTAGCAGTGGCAGCCCCCAGGCACGCACCTTCTCAGCCACTCCCAGCCCACTGGCACAGGGATGTCTCTACCGGGGCAGCTGCCTTGCTGTCACCTCATATCAGCTTAGGTCCATGCCAGTACCGCCTGGGCTTACCGAGTATGACATTTCTGATGATGCAAAGAATGGGTCATTTGGGAGAAGTAATGCCAGAGAGTAGCCATGCTTTTAGTCTCATTTAATGGCATTTAGTGCATTGATACTGCTGTTCGTGGACCAATGTTTTGACCACTAATATTCAAGAACATCTGCATGAGCAGAGTTCAGCAGCAAGCAGAGACAGCAGCACATGGAAAGACCAGCAGGGAATCGGTGTTCATCACTGCTGCGAGTTCAGAGTTTAAATTAATCCAAATGTGGGGGCTAGAGAATCAGACTTGAACGCCCATGAGCCGCCTCCTCCTCGCCTTTCGGCAGATGGCAATCCTGCTAACAGCACTTGCGTAAAGTCCCCTTGTAGAATAAGCGGAGCAGAGCTGGAGAGTTTTTGCTGTTTATGTGCTGGATCCAAATGAGGTGGCCCCAAATGCTAAGCCATTATCACAGCCTTGCGTGGAGCTAGACCAGTCCCGCAGTGCTTTGAGCTACTACCGAAGGGAGAATATTGGGCCCATAGCAGCATGTCTACCCTGCTGCTTCTGTCCCCAAGGCAGTTTGAGCTGAGACCCCATGGCTTGGCTGCAGGCTGGGTGATGACTTGCCAATGGCACCTAGCAACTCCACCCCCATCTTTACCATGTGCTCCCACTAGGCAGGAGCCAGCAGAGTCTTTGAATGCATGGGACAGATCCTGGTGTTGGTACAGGAGAGCATCTTCCATCCTCTAGGTCAGCATCTCTGTGGGCTCTTGTGCCCTTCTCTCATGCCATATGGATTTTGTGGCTGCTTTTGTGGCTAAAATTGCAGTTGCACTCTAACAAGCTAGAAAGCCTTCAAAATCATGTAGGAAGCAGGTAAAAAAGTGCTTCATGAGCTGCCTGGCTTCTGGACTGTCCACTGGATATCTTTTCTTAGTTTATCCCGGCATAATGTTTCTCAGTTCCATTTTTGAAATGGAGTTTCCTAACTGTCCTGTTCCCCATTTTACCTTGAAAAGTGGCGCTGCTCCAGAGAAGGCTGCAAGCAAATCAGGGCACCTTGGCTTTCCTCAACCTTTCTGTTGCTTGTTGGTTGAAAATGCCACTGCTCATTTACTTCTAGCACTCTCCATGCTTTAATGATGCTCGTAATTAAAAAAAAAAAAAACAAAAAAAACCAACCCAACATAAAACCCATAAAAAATGGTGTGCTCCGTGCGCTTTCCATTAATCCTACTTCCCCTGTCCAAAGGCACTCTGCAGATCAATAAATTACCTACTTTACTTAGATTTGCTGGAATTTCACGCTGACTTATTATGCCCCTCTCAACTGAAGACAAATTGTGAAGCAGTAAACTCGCATAAAACCAGAAATACAAGCAGATCCAAAATACTTTCCTGCTGGGGATCCCACTAAAGGTAACTTTTTCCCTCTGAAACAGCACAGTCATTTTTACTTGTGGTGCTGAATTACAATACTACTAGTTGTACCACTGCACTACTGACAGTGCTAGGTTCACGGTTGGACTTGATGATCTTGAAGGTCTTTTCCAACCTAAATGATTCTGTGATTCTATGCTAAAACAGGATTGCATGGCATTCCCCTGCACGGTTTTAGAAGATTATGTGAGGAGCAATACAAGGGAGAAGCTGACTGACTTACTTGGACTTTCTCGGTACCCTAGCTGCTCAAACGGCACGAATCCATCACAGAAGCCCAGCTCATGAAAAGCAAGAGTTCTCATCCTACATGCTTGTGAACACCAGTCTCCAGAGGACTCGAACAGCACGAGGAGGACAGCAATGTCTGCAGGCTCTGGCTAATGCTGGGGAGGACATAATGTACTGCAGCAAGGCGTGAAGGCTGACTTCCTGGGTTCCTCGGCATCCTCAGATTTCTCCCGCAGCTGTTAGCAAGCTGGGTCCTGCTTGCAGAGCCTGAGGAGACAGAAGTCAACAGCAATATTTATGAAAGCACACACACATCCCCAGAACGTGATCTGCTCTTCAAAAACTCTCAGCAGTCCACCTCCTAGGAACTGGGCACTTCATGCCATGGAAAGCTGAGCACCAGCAGGAAGCATATCTGTAGAGGGATACTTACACAAACAATTATAGAAAAAAATGAATTGAGCAAAATTAAAATGTGTGACTTACACATAAGGGGTCAACTGTTTTGCAAACCTCTGAAGACATTTAACCCCCCTCTGAACCTTTCACTGCTTCCATGTGGACCAATAATGGAATGTTTGCTTTTCACGCAGATCGGTTACTTTATTACTACGTGCAGAAGTGATGCACACATCTTAAGGACCTGAGGGAATGTGAAAGTCATGCTGTAAGTCTCACCTTCTGCTTCATTTACAGGTATACTAATGAGTTTTTTTCCACTCTGTTTCCTTTGCTCTTTTTTAACATAAAAGCTTTGAGAATATAATTAAAGTCATGTTCCATCTCCTTCCCTACTCCTCTACAGAAAGGATGCTGAAGAGACAACCCTTGCAATGTGCATTTCAAAAATGGGGGAACAGAGATACGGATTAAGCAATCTTCCCCAAAACACATGGAAACCCAGTGGCAAAGCCAGCAATAAAAACACAGTTCGAAAAAAACCCAGATATCTATGCTGTCTAAATCACAACATGTATTCAGTCAATAATGTAGAACATTGCGTGGTAAAAATTAAAATAATGCTTTTATTGATCTGCTTAAACATAAAACATAGGTAACATCATAAAAAAACAAAAGGTGTACCTAATAGACAGACATTTAATTTTTTTTCTCAGTAATCACCCGGAGGGGATTGTCGCCTTCCCACTGACCTGTGTATCAAACAGCCTTTGCTTAACGGTGTTGCTTTGTTCCCATGGAGCCTAAGGACTGTGATGAGCACCGTGGTTGTGGCTGTTTTTTACCTAAAGCCTGATCCCCAAAGGAGCACCATGTCCGTTCCACTCAAACACTGCACAAAGGGTTGTGCATCTTTGCGGCCTTCCAGATGAAGTCCTGACAGATCCCAGCAGAAGGGAGGGTATGAACCCAGTTCTACTGGAATGCAAAACCACGAAGTTATGGGTTCCTCTAGGACACGTTTTCCTTCAAAGTCATCGAGGCTTGGAAAAGCCACATAGCTCCCAAGAAAAAGTAAGATCAGAACTCAAAGGATTTCTAATAAAGGTAAATCTAACACAAGTTTATTCTATAAATATTTTTTTCCTGTCCAAAGACAAAACACTTATAGAAACATACAAGAAATATTCCTTGGAAAAAAAATGAAGCTACAGAAAATTACAAAGTATCAGCTGCTTTAATTTAACTTGAACCTTGCAGAATTGCGCGGTGCTCAGTCCTGTCTGTAAACCCACCATGGTGCCCTCAGTGCAATCACTCTAATTCTCTCTTGCTTCGTAAACATTTTTGTTAATCACTCTTATCTTCTGTTTGGTAGTGTCTGTATTCTGGCTTCAGCTCCCATGTGTTTTTGTGGGTCCCCTTCACGTTGTAGATGCCTATCTCTCTCAAAATTTCTTTCAAGTATATCTGAAAGAAAGCAAAAATTCAAATTACACAGGCAGGCAATTGCCACGGTTCCTACACAACGCCACACAATCATCTGCTCAATCCCATCAACTTGGTTCATAAGAAGGACCTGGCAGACAGGAAGATTGGCTGATCAGCACTGACTTGTGCGATAACGACTCTGTGATAGACTTCAACCCCCCAGGCACTAACAGGGATTACAGCAGCCCGGGTGTAACACCTGGCGCAAGCCCCAGGGGTGCAGCAGGGAGCACCTGAGCCCCCGGGGTGACGGGTCCCAGGCTGGCCTCGCAGTGCCCTGACGGGCCCAGGGGCAAAGAGTTGGGTACTGACGTGATGGATGCTCCATGGACTGCCGAAACGAAGCTCCCAGCGCCGCCGGGAGTGCAATGCCGAGGTTACTGCAGACCTGCAGCAGCAGCACCCACCCATGGGTGAGCTAGCCGAGGTGCTCCCCAGCTCCGCTCTCAAAACAAGGTGCTTGAGGAATCAAAGGGCTGACATATGCCCGACGTGCCCCGGGGGTTAGACGCACAGCTGGTCTAAAAATCTGCGCGGTTTCCTTTCTCACACAGCTGCGGAGGAGGGGGCACGTGGCAGGCTTTCTGCCCTGGGAGCTCGCTGCCGTGCGGGTGGCCGCTGCGTGCGAGGGGCTCCCTGGGGCGGTGGGACACAGCCACGGTGCGGGTCTGTAACATCGCTGTTGTCCCACACATCTTCCTCCTGCTGGAATTTCTCCACCTGAGCTAAAAGCTCTTGGCCTGTCGGCTTCCCTGGGCCAGGATTATCTTGAAACTCCCTGCCTTATTCAGACCCCATCAAAGCCCCGAGCTGTTGTTTTTCATGCTGTTTTACAAAGCTTTAAGCATTTTATTATGGCCTTATTGTTAGAAGAGAGCTGAGTAGGTGCCAGAGATTTTTTCTAATACATTCAAATATTAAAGCTAGGAAGAGAAATAAAAAAAAACACAAGCAAAGCCATGATAACCAGTAGTATAACCTTCAACACAAGACAGCTCACTAATATCACCCTCCTTTACTCTTTACAATATACACCAGTAATTAGTTTCATTTTTTAAAGAGTCATTTGCTTGCTTGTTTGTTTAAATATTAATCAGGACTGACTTGAGTGGATTGCCATGGCAACCACAGACCACAGTTTAAGAATCCCCACATTATATTCATAATTGCTTTAGTTTGAACAATTTAATCGTCTTTGAGTGCATATCTTGAACTGGAGTTACTGCAACCCTTGTATTTTCTGTATCTACAGTTCCACTAAGTGAAAATACCAACATACTCCAACTTATTAAAAAAAGCAAGTATTTGTTGATGACATACATAGGAAAAAAAGAAAGGCCGATTTCCCAATTTCTTCCTTGCACTCTTCCCATTTTTTGCTAAATGGAAAAGTTGGGAAATAAATACAATGTATATTCTCAGTCAGTAAAAAAAGTCTCTTTTAGAGAAACTGATTGTTTCTCTCTCTCCAGGTAGATATCAAAAACTTACACAGCAAAAAAATCTGGATCCCACACTAATGATATTTTGGACTCATGTAGCAAAGTGGTTCTTAAAAATCCTATCTCGAAGCAAGAAGGGCTGTTCAAAAGATCACTTTGTCCAACAAGCAAGAAAGGTAGGTAACAGACTGCATGGACAAACGAATTTCTTGGAGTCTTCTCTTCGAGCAGAGCGGCTGCGCGCAGGAGCCGTGCGTGGGGAGCAGGGGGTTCATTTTGCGCTGCGGAGATGGCTCTTCAGTCTTCCACGATGCAAACCCCAGCAGGTGGCAGCAGGAGATCAATATACGTCTCTCAGCACACCTTTCCACATCTCGTCCATTGCAGAGATGCCGTCGTTATTTGAGTCAGGTACCCAAGACAAATGTACTCGCTACAACAGCAATTAGTGCGCAAACGGTTTTGTACGATGACGCTGCTGTTGCGCAATGTATATTTTAAAAGGTGATGAAAGCAGGTGAAAAAGTGCTTTCTATATGAGCATGTGTAGATGTGTATAGCTGCATATCCAGCGCTTTGCTTGCAATCCTGGCGAGGATGCATGCGTGCGAGGTAGCTTTCAGTAGCATCACTGACAGACACCTCAAAAAATGGCAGAGTGGGTGGAAGAAACACTCAGATTCAAGGTTAAACCCTGCTCTAGACCACACGGACAGATTAACGAGAACCGGGAAAAAGAAAACAACTGCACCTAGTCCCATGAAGTACATCCATATGCGGTTCCTGGGCTGGGAAGCCAGGTCACACAAGGTTACTACTAATTTCAAGTAGTTTTCAGGCCAAATTCCCCAGGCAGTTACACTTCTCTCTGGGCAAAACTTCCAAGACTTTCAATTCAACAGCATAACAAAACGGAACAAAAACAACCCAAGCGGAACCGCGAGATAATGTCTCTGCCACAAGTAAGGGCACTTTAAGCTGGGACTGTGAACTGCAGCAAAGGAGGATTTGATAACATATTTCCATTTGCCATCTCTGCTGCAGGCGGAAACAAGCAGCAGTGGTTTTGGGTAGGGCAGCCGATAGCGTAAACCCGAAAAATCACTCCACGTGGACAGACGACGCTGAACTGTTGGAACTTTTAGAAATTACAAATCAGGGATAATCCTGATGTATTCTGCTGTACTTGAGAGCAAGTGGCTAGACGAGCTGAGTTCAGGGGACGTTACGATTTTTCCTGCAGGATCACTTCTCCTTCCAGAAACCAGGACCCTCCACCTGGGTCTGCACTGTGCCAAGTTAGCGTATACATCTTGAAGCACAGTACCCAGTCTGATACTGTATCATCAAGAGAAACGCCCCACTTCCTCCAGTGATGCCAAATACTGAATTTCAGAGCCTGCTGAGCGCTAATCAGGGACCCACAATTTCTTCTCAGAAAGGGATTTGGTATGTTTATACACATATTACTATAATACAGAAGCCAATCTGTGGGTAACCTGTTCATATATTTAAGGCATCCTCTTCTCTGTTACATGATTTTTTCCATAAGAAGTGACATTTTTTTACAGAATTGTGGGATAAAAAATTTCTGAAAAGCTGAGGAGTTAACTTCCAAGCTCTGAAAACCCTTCCAAAACTTTGAGGGGGAGCCCCGCCACCCCCGCACTTAGGATAACCATTACTTAAAGCTGAAATAAAAGAAAAAACTGCAAACAATCTACCCCATTTTGGAAAAAAATCCAGTTCATATTAGACCACTGGTGCCATACTGGTTCCACTCTTCACAAATATTTGAGTGCTCACATAAAAAGCATATTATGTATTCAGCCGTTAAGTGCAAATCTAGAATTACTGCAGTATTTCCAGGGAGCACTCGGTATTTGCATCTGGGTAGGTGGCAATAGATTTGCCTACTACTGCAAATTGTTATTTTTCATTAAAAAGAAAAAAAAAATGAATCCAAGTTTCCCTGATATAACAGTAGTTTGCATTTAGAGTAGACTTGCTTTGTGATTTCACGATGGCAAAATAAAAATGGCAGCAACTGCCTGATTAAAATGCAACATATTCTGTAGCAAGGGTTTAATTTACTATTTACATTTGCCATTATATGTAAGAAAAATACCCTTATTTATTTGTTACTTCACTAACAAAGATGTTGATTCCCTTAGACAACTGTGTTTTAAATATTATTAGCCAGTGATGTAAGCACGTAGAACTTCATTTTAACAGGAACTGAGGAGACAGCGGCAGCAGTTTTTTTTTCCTCACATCTGAAAATAACCTCAACATTTAGAAACTCAGAGGAGAAATTACATACCCAAACAATCTTAGATGCTGTGACAGAAAATAAAGCAGTGAACACTCAGCAGAGATTAATTAGCAGCCAACCTCTGCACAGCACGGGGAAAGCATGCCTATTCATCTGTTGGCGTTTTACATTTTTTGTTAGGTATAGCTGCTCTGCGAACAATAAAGTCACAGTGGGCATTAGGAATAGATACTTAATTTGCAGACCCCCCACCCCCACCCAAGTTGCACACCAGAGGTTGAAGTCCGCAGCACCAGGGATGCTTGCACACGGAGCGAACACCGGCTGAGCAGCAGGAACTGAGGGATAGTGGTTTTGAATGGAAATGGATGCCGTTAGCAACTGCCTGCAGAACTTTTTAATGGGAACCCAGATGGGAAATTAGGAAAGCTTTAGCTGAGGGGTAGACGAAGGACAGCACTGAAAGGTAGTTTTGAATTTATCACCATACTGGCTACCTAGTGAATGAAGAAAGGCATCAGGAAGAGGATTTTGGTCATTTATTTTCTCAGGATATCTGGGTCTGAGGAAGCTGGAAGGGCACCAACACCTACAGTAAAACCCTGTCTGGGAGTGAACACGAAACCCCTAGCTCTTCCATACAGCTTGAAATTGAGACCGCACAGCCCACTCAGGGGAAGAAGGTTTAATGGTTTGATTAATCTCAGGACCCCTATGGAACTTTTAGCCATTGGTAGAGAGACTCAAATAAGAAACACAGATGCAAAGATATAGCCCAAATAACATGTGATGTCAGGTCAAATTGGTCTACAATTTCCTTTTAACATACCTGTATTACTACAATGGTTGAAAAAAATAAAAAATGCTAGATTAGCTGAGATGAAAGTACGCAGCACACATCTACTATGCTATGGGCAGAATATATTCAGGAGCATATGATGACAGCAGAGATATATAGACAGGCATAGAAATTCTTCATAAGCGTAACAGAAGTATTCATGTAAGGTATATTGCTCTATACTTCTAATTTAATAACTACCCTATATATATAATCCTTAGGGCAGCGACTAAGACAAAAATTGGATTAATCTTGCCCAACTTTTGGTGCTTACTGAAAAAAATTGTGTCAGAAGCACAGCTTTTCCAGGCTCCTTTGAGCTGATGCAGAGAGATGGCTACATTCAAGAGGTAAATCACATCACAGGAGGAAGAAAACTTTTGTTCTCTCATGGCTTTAAGTGGGAGTTGTGGGTGACTATTTCTAGCTGAAGTCATGCTAGATGGGATAAATCTGTACCTACTTACATTCAAAGTGATCGAGATGGTGACTGTCGCACCTATCTCTTAAAAAACAAAAAATCTTTTAACATTTTCTTGCCACTCTCTCCTATTCCTTCCTCCTTCTCTGCTCCCGTGATCCACACACCTTCTCTGCCACACAGATAAGGAGTTGACTCATTAGATAAATGAATGGAATAGAAGACACGAATATATTATCCAACTAGTTTCTTCTAAGGTACTAGAACACCGTGAACATACATGTATTTGAACTGGGTAACATCTTTGTGCAGCTTCTTAACCAAACAGATTCTGCACCCTATACAAATCCTCTGATACAGATCCACTTAATTCTAAATATGAAGTGAGCAAAACTAGTAAGCAGCTCCACTTTTTCCCCTCTTTTACAGAGAAATAATTTTTTCCATAATCCAGCTGCCACTGTTACTTCTTGTGCCCTAGCTCTAAAAACTTCTGAAATTGTTGCTCTGTTTAGACTCAAACATAATTAAGTCCCTCTAAGTTTTCTGAAAACTGTAGCTGGGTTGATGATAGATATCAAAGTCAGCAGTAAAAAACATCATAAGCACCAAAGATACTTCACGTATCTTTGTCTCCCCCACCTCCTGCTTGGTGTGCTCAAGGAAAGCTTGAACAGGGGAGAAAGGGAAAGAACTGGCAAGTTAGGGTTCATAGATGAAGGGGCTGGCAGACACTGCAGGATAACAAAACCATCACGTAAGCACACATCTTCATGATTTTCTTGCTTATGTATCAAAAGTGTTTAAAAAAATAAAAATAAATCCCAAATATCAAACTCTTAAACTCTTAGTATAAAAATAATTCTATTTGTAAAGGAAATCAAGTGATTTTGGCGGTGTTGACATGATGCCTGAGCTCCTAACATAGATAAAGTGTGCATTTAATACTAATTAGATGAAACACAATTTTCTAGACCTGCAGAAAAAGAATAACCCCTGTTTCTATGCCCAGGTAAAGTTCAGAAGCTGAAGGAAGGGCTGACCACTCACACAAGATCTCTACTGCCAATACCAACAGAACTAGGCTGTTACTTCAGTGAGGCCGGGCATAGCATGGGAGACATCAGAGCGTTACAGAATTTGGTTTCTAGTATTAAAGCAAGCCTAAACAACAAAGAGACCATTTAGGTTACTTAAACCACCTCTGTCAAGAAAAAGCCTACTCACTGCAGTGCTTGGTATCCTAACCAGTCCTACAATAGTGAACTTGATAATTTCTGTTTGTTGTAAAATATATTTAGAGAGCTGTTTCAAAGGCATACAGTATATATTAAAATATTTTCTGCATATGGAAAATATACACAATAGTAACTACTGAAAATAGTTATAAGACTACTAGTACGTACCACCGGCTGTTTGGTTATGTCTACCAGGTCTTTAATGTTGTAATACTGATGTTTCTCAAAGGCTGAAAAAAGCATGTCCAACACCTGTTGTTTATCAGCTCGAGCCCGTTTTCCATCTTCTTTCTTCTTCTTCTCATATTCAATCTATCAGATACAAAACATGTTTTAAAGACATTTACATATAATGCTGTGTAATTCTCAGTGCTAAACATAACAACATAAAAAACCCTCTTCTATTTAATAAAACACTGTTCAATGACTCAGTGCTTTTCATCTGGAAAATTTTCTTTTGAGCACTCAAATGTTCTCTTATGAACATAAACTAAGGATTTTGCCCTTAGCACAATAAGCTTTTCAGATATGTATCTCTGTTTTAACCAGTAAAAAAACCCAGAAACAGAGCCTGCATGATGTGCCCAAACCTGGAGAGAGAATTAATATTAGTACAGGAATCCAAACTGAGATGGTATTTTCACTCCACATCTGTTGATATCAGCTTCTGAAGTATAATGACAAATATCAAACAACCTACAAGTTGCCATATTTGGGAAAATCCACAGACCAACATGGCTCCATCACAATCGTAACAACCACCTGCCCAAAGGATGCTCAAATGGCCCTTGGACACTGCCTCATCTGCTCCAGAAACAGCACTCAAGGCAAACACTCTGTCAATATAAGAACGATCTTCACCAAGTGAAGACACGCTTCAAGGACACAGATGGCATCTCTTCAGGAGATACCTGAGTAGCACACAAAGTTATGGTAGTCCAAAAAAACCCCTCCTTGGAACCAACAAAGGTGACCCAGAAGGTAATACAATTCATGTAATCATCAAGCGCTTTCAGACAAACTGTGTGGGTGAATCCAAAGTGGCACAATGTACCACAAGAGAGATGCATGTGATCAATAAAGGACACACGCCTGGCTGCCAGTGGGATAATGGTGTATGGGAGTCATTTTGCCTCTGATGTCTCAAACCTGATCCTCAAAGGGAGGTCCTTCCGAGAAGAAGCCTAGAAGTGAAAATTCACAGTTCTACTGGATACTAAAAATATTATTTTTAAGAAGAGAGATTATTTTTATGGCAAAATTTATTTTTTCCTTTGTTGCCTTGCCAGCTAACTCCCTCCTACTCTCTGAGTGAAAATAGCCTGTCTCTTGGTATCTGTCCCAAAGTTGCTAAAGACTATTACCACCTTTGCTGTTGCTCACAGGTCTCTGGCCAGCCACCTTTCTCTTTCCAATCCTGAAACAGATGTACATCACTGAATTGAACACAGAGCAATTGTTCCCAATCTGTAGCTTGAAGTCCGTTGCTTCTGCTTAAAACCCAAGATGGGCTTGGGCAATCAAATACTTGTCTGCTTTTCCACAGAAAAAAATCTTTCTGTTAGAAAAGATACAATGTCTCCACACAAATCCACACAATTGATTTTTATCCACTAATACACTTTGGTATATTCATTTAACCCTTTAGGCTCTGCATTTTAAAAAAAAAAATCCTCCAAACAGTAATAACTTTGCAATAATAGCAAACTGTGGCGTCAAGTAAAACAGCTTCACAGGACATCATCTTAGTTGCCATGATCTAAAGCAGAACTGCTATGCCACAGAAACGAGAGTAGGAACATAAATCTAGGACACCGGCCTTGTTATTAACCATAGTGTGTCAAAACATTTGCTTCTTCTGAAAGTACAACAGACAATTTATTAGGAACCTCTGTTGACCTTGAAAAGGTTTTAATTGTAAGCTTTGGAAGCCCTGCTGTGGATCCAATTTCTGTTTCTCTACCGATATAGTCTCACAACGCAATATAATGCAAGTAAACTGCACCTAGTTGTAAATGCATGAAGTAGTACTGCAGTGGTGTTGAAATATATATGAACAGGTCTAGTCCATTGACACTCTTCGAAACTACAAACCCAAAATACTAAGCAGCACAGCCAGGGTGCACTCTGCCTCGCAACTCCACCAACAAAGCAGTTGGCTAGTTGTCTACTGGGTACATTCACATAGTCATACAGGTATTGGAGAAGTAGGGAAAATCTCATTCTCCTAAAAGTCTGCTATAACCTGTAGATGTCCTACATGTCCTTGTAGGTGAGCAAGGGTGAAGCACTGAAAGACATGATACAAAGAGTGGGAAGTAGGAGGAGACTGGCCCATTGCTGCATGAAATGTTGGATGAAATAGGAGACGTGTGAGGGTGCTTGTCTCTTCTGCTACCTGCAAGATAAGCAATACACTAAATCGACTGATTGTCAAAAAATTCTTCGCATCTTATCTTCATCTGACCTGATGCTAGTCAGTTGGTGGCATTAAAAATGCTTTCAATTTACACCTGGGTTAAGTCAGAACTTACTATGATATATTATAAGCATTTTCTATTTTTCCTGACAGAGAAACCATCGCTCCAGAGCAATCATCTACTACCACTGTCATGATCTAACTCAGTGCAATGGTGTAGGGACTTGCTGTAAGGACATAGGTGCATCCTGAGGACAGTGAAATATGCAGGGTTTAAGACATGCATTTTAAATTTATTTTAGTATGATAGCTATCACTTTGCTCTTAAAAAATACATGAATATGTCACATCTCAGGCTACAGTCTAAAGTTGATACTTCATGCTAGCATTGAAAAGCACCTGTTATGATCAGAATCCCATTACACTGTATATTTTGGAAGTCATGTTTCCATCTATAAGAACAATTTTCATTTCTATTTTCTAATACTACTTGTATTTAAAAACTGCTTCTTTGCTTTTTAAGCTGGAGAGAATCAAAGGGTAAACCCACTGTCCTGTAAGTAATGAGGCTGACAGTGCTTCAAATAAATGAATGAGTAAGATCATCACAAAGTATGGCAGTATCATCATTTTACATGGAATGAAACCAAGGCAGAGAAATTACCTGGCATGCACAAAGTTGCAGACAGCGCCGTGTTACACTGTGTTTTCAGAAGCGAACAAGTCAACAACAGCAACCCAAACATTATAAAAAATATTCTAATCTAGCTGGGTACAACGAATATTTTTTGGTCTTGTCTGAAAACTGCTCCAGATTTATTCTCTTTGGTATGTCATAGTCAAAGATGGGAATTACTGTCCCGTTGGATATATTGTATGTTTCCTTCCACACAAGAAGGAAAGCAGGAGCTACGACTTCATCGGATCCTCTTCAAAAGTCAAGACACTGACACTATGTTCTCCTGGAAGCAGAGTTTTCCAATTAGCCACTGCAATCAACTGCAGTGGGCTTTCTTGAGCATGAGTTTTCAGCCTTTTTTGACTCAGGGATCCAGAGAATTTTCCAGTTTCTCTGTGCAGTTGCTGATCAGGTCATGGCTGATACTGGTAAACAACACTCTACTGGATTTTCAATAGAGCCCTACTGCATTTGAGACACCGGCTTATGGGAGACTAGGACTGGAGACTTAATAATGTTTTGAATATATGCACATGTTAACATTTTATAAGAGGAGGAGATGGATTATCCAGCCTTAATTTGTTGCCAGAAAAGCATCTGATACTTTAGAGGTCAAGTCCAGAAGACGGTAGGAGAGACGAAGGCATCCCTATTTGCAAAGCTTCACTGAGTTCTGGGTTCCTGAATAAATCTGAGGTCACTTTTCAGTGTAAAGACCTATGGATCTGTTTTTAAGGTTAGCAACTTTTCTCTGACTCAAAAACACCAGTTGAAGGAGGTGGTGTCAAAGTAAAAGACAGTTACAGGCTGCATCACTATGTCTCAGTGGTAGCTATTCTACCTGTTCTTACCAACCCTTCTGTAAGTTTGTACCTCCTCAAACAACAAAACCAAAATGGACAAGAAGAAAAACAAACCAACTGCAACCTCCTCAGGTGGAAGGTCAAGCTGAAGCGATGGAAGAAACCCATCTCCTCTTTTTCTGTTTTTGTTTTATTTTTAAGGAGCAAGAACAAGAGCAAAGCACTGAGGTTATTCCTTCTGTACATGGAAGAGCTACGGGATTAACGGGTATGTAACATGAGTGTAATGGGAAAAGCTATTGGGACTCTCAAGACGATCTCCGAGAACAACAACAAAAAATCCATGGTACTGTTTGTACCTCTTCAAATGACATATAGCGAAAATGTGCTTAGCTAGCAACTAGCTACTAGCTACAACTTTCTCCATGTGGAAAAAAACCTACTAGCTTTAAAATTGATGCTTCCTACACAAAGGAACAAAGTAACAATAAGGAAATTCTCAACATTATCTTCACTGATGGTAGGTCTCTGACAGGACTATTTCATGACTTGGTATAAAATCCTAATTATATGAATAACAGTCTTCTGGAAAACAACATGAAGTAGCCTTTTTAACCAAAGCACATTCTTTTTTTTGCTAGTACATTGTAATGCTCAGCAGTCTTCTTCCTCTATTATTTTAGTGCCTTGGTACACTGTCCTCAGTAGGAGCTTCTATTTTACATTCTCTGGATGAGCTAAAGTAAATCAAGGAGGAGTGTTTGTATTCACTATACAAATGCAATGTGAATATTCTAATATTCTTAATTCATTAATGTATAAAAACAACTCACACAGAAAACTGACTATCAAACCCTCCCTTTGTTGAAAAGTTATTTGCAGCTGGCATACCAGTTGCCCACATTTTAATTAGCAACACTCCCGCATTCCCCTCCAACTTCAGCAACAGCTCCCACTGTTGTCTAAAAACACGGAGTGCATTGTGAAGTGCTATTTAAAAAAAAAAGCATGGTATCTGTTGCTATTTTCTTCTTTTTGTCTTGTGAATACACTGCTTGCAGCAAGTTACAATGCAGCCTTTCATTTTTTTTTCCTTCCTGTTTTCTTTGCAAAGAAGATGTTTTATGCAGTAGGCTTAAAGCACTTTTTGAGAGCCATATTACAGAATGCATGTACATTGTAGACTAATTAGATTTCTTTAAAATTGTGCAGTTTTTAAATTTAAAGAGCATTAAAATGCAATTTGCTTTCAAGGAAGGGCCATTTTAGAACAAGCTGTCGAGTGTAGAAGTTGCGAGTTTATCCCTGCAGGACTTCATACAGAAATCAATTTCTCTGTGTTTACCTTCCCAGTATGCTGCTAAGCTTTCTGAAAAGCTGCCAAAATTGCCTTCTTGAAGGTATTGTTAATACTGAAGCTGATGTATTACAGTGCTTCGGTAGACAGCTAATACAAAGGTGATAAAGAAGTGAGACTAAATCTGAAGTTTCATCTGAAGATGTTGGAAAGAATTCTTAAAGGTTTTCCCATCCCCTGGAGCATGGTACCAACCTCTGTAGTATGGGAGAGTGGGAAAAGGGGAGACCACAAAGAAGCCTCTAAAGGGGTAACCAGAACCACTAGAGAACTTTTTTGCTGTGTTACAAAAAATAATTGCCACAGAAAGATTCCAGCTGCAAGAACATAAGCATTGCAACCTTTTAAAGACATGTATCATCTATAGATATAGAGAAAATGACTCCTTTTCCCAGAGAAGAAAAACTAAGTTATAAACCTGGCATATATCGTAATGGAATTGCAGTTTCTTCTAATAAAAATGTGGGTTTAATAGAATTCCTTGCAAAAAAAAAAAATTTTTTTTCCTGTCCTTGTTTTCAAACAAGCTATTGCTATTTCCCGTCCATGTGTAATTTCTTTCCATCCTCCTTCCTGTTATATGTTCATTTAGGGGTACATGGAGCACCCACGCTTAAGCCCCATTTAATATTCTATTGTATCTTCCTTCAAGAAGTAGTGTAGATGCTCATTCTTTCCTCAGAAACTCCCCTGAAGATGACCAAATGCATCAGCATGTACAGCAGTTTGTATATTTTTTTTCTTCTTTCTTGTGAAAAGTCCGTAAGAAGGCTTCATATGATTACAAGCAATACAGCAAGTTTAAGAAACTGCTGCTTGAAAACACCAGAAAAATTTAACCAAGAGGCTTAAAAAGTCCACAGACATATTCTCCCAGTTGTACATCCTTTCAGCCATCTAACCTGAACCTTCATGAAAGACTTAATGAAAAGAAAAATCTTGTAGAAAGTAGTCGTGCCTGGGCCTTTAGAGTCAAGGCAAGGCCAAGAGTGACTCAAGTATAAGCATGTCCTACATGATTTTTCCCATCAGAACACCTTTAAGGTAGACATGAAAAGTAAACACACTACCAGTGGATTTCTGTTAGCATAGGCAGCTATGTAACTGATAAAAACATTATAACTGGGACCCAAGAGCATCACAGCTTTTAAGAAGCCTGGTTACATCCTGGTTATACCCCCTGAATCTCCCACAAGACTTAAATTTCTGCAATGATATGACGACATCAGTTTGCAACTGGAACAAGGTTCAAAGATTGTCTCCAGGTTGAAGTCATATTGTTGCAATTATGCCAGTGTCAGGGAAATGGCACAGAAGCCCACTAAAGAGAGATGCTGTACATCACAGTAGCATCATAAAACAATATACTCATATAAAACTGCATTTAGATAGCAGGGTATACCCATGTGACTATTTTGGTTAAATGTCATTCCCACAGCTGAAATAGTTATATTGGTATGATCATCTATGTATAGATCAAACTGTGAACAGTAACTACTACAAAACAGTCCCATGAGAGAGCAACGATTATTTTTGGTTCTGTGGAAATAGACTGCCTTTCAGAGTAATGCTTAAATATCATACAGTATATTGTCATTTGTTTTATGTAAATAAAATCTTAATAAAAAGTGTAAAAGTTTAAATGACTAACACAGTGACTCATTTTCAGCATGACTTAACATTTCTCACATTCAACAGTAACAGCGATGATATATGCATACATACAAATTACTCAGAGAGGATCTTTAAGAAAAAGGACATTATAGTTTGTGTGTACATCAACTGGTCTGGAACAGCAGTGTGGGTGTAATATTGACAAAGTTAATGATGCAAATAACACATACTATGAAAGTATGAAACTGTGAAAAATTATCAGCTGTTATTCTTTTCTACTTCTTATCAGTTCCTGCAAAAGACTGGAAACTAATGATTCTTTTCAAGTCTTTTACCCACCTCCATATGATATTTTATTTGGCTCAAAGGACTGCTTCGACATCTCATAGCACAAAGCCAGAACTGCCTTTTACCCCGAAACTTCAAAATTACATTTCAAAAAAAGACTAGAGGAAGAATGTAATAAAGACACTAGAAAAGGCTTAGGTAAAGGCGGTCTGCCCTCCATCAGGTAACATGAGAGAGTTAGAATTGGCAGACCTTAGCCTCAAGGGTGATGTTTGTCTTGAGACGGAAGATCCTCAGAAGACAAAATCAGGGAGAAACCAGATAACATGGAACAGTTCCAAAGAGAGTGGCCAACTGTGAGTGAAAGGGCTGCAGGAGAGCAGCACAGCGATTCCGGAGTCCTGAGCCATGACTCCTCCTGGCTGGAAGAAGAAGGGAAAATACTGAAAGCTACTTACATTATATTGATGATTAGCCACTGGTTTATAGTTCGTGGTCACGGCTTTGTCCAGCTGCTGTGATAGCCTTACAGGTTTAGAAGATTCTTCTATCTGTAATCTGCAAAAGAAAAGAAGAGAATTAATAAAAAGTTCAGACAAGCACACACTCAAAATGAATTCTAAAAATCTGTAAGTATGAACCAGCCCTTATCAAAGGTCAGCTGCAAACAAATCACATGGCAAAACAGATGGACTCTTCTGAATTAAGTTTTTCCTACTCTATTTTTGCTTGAGGACACTGCAGATTATTAGGAGACTATAAGCTACAGAGGATACTGAAACACTGAAAACCAAGCAATTGTAAAGGGAAGATAATAAAAAACATGTCTGAACAACAAATTTTATTCCAAAAGCCTGACACTCAGGTGGAAGAAAAGCCCGTCCTCTTAAAAAAGATCAAACCCAACGCATATGAACCCAGAATCTCCCAGCTTACACAGCTGAGGGCTGAAAAAGCTGTTCATCCACCTCTGCTGACTCCCCAGAGCACAGCAAAGGCCAGACTCCATGACCTTCTCTTAGAAATTTTAATGTAAAAATATAAATTTCTGTGACCTTTCTTTTGGCATTATAGCACAATAACAGAGCACAAATAACTATTTTACGAGCACTTTTAATAACATGAAGACAGAGAAATCTACCCAGGTTCAAACCAATGTACAATCAAGTCTCATACAGTTAATGAACTGTATGAACCTTCGGTCCTCTTTGCGAAAGGCTTTGAGAAGGTCAGAGGTTGAACACATTTTGTCAAGGTCATCTCTATGTAACTTAAATGGTTACATATGATGGTGTAGAAGGAATGCTTCATTTATTTCAGGTTTAACACTCAATAATTACTACTTGAAATGAAGATACACGAAACCAAGCTTTATAAAGGTGCAGGACAACGTCCCTTCAGAGAAACCAGCTTTATAGCACATACAAGTAATACGTTATCATCAGTGAAGTTATTTTGTTTCCAAAGGTGTATCTGGCAGGCAGAAGAGTCAATTTTCACTAAATAAAATATAAGACTTTTAGACCAATAAATGTACAGACACGTTTGCTTCTTTCCAAAGAAAAATTAATATGGTAACACTAATGCAAATAACTACGTGCTTACTAATGTGAAACACCAATGTGATAAAACAGACAGTATTTTAAAAAACACTGTAAGGGTTTGATATCACTGATTTCTTTTTGTAAAAACAATAACACACAACCAAAACCCTAAATTTAAACTCAGCATGCTTCTGATTTGTCACCGGAACAACCTAAACAAATTACATTTGAGGTAAGCATTAAATTAAGAAATAAATTCTCTAGTTTTAGCAACTGGCAATAAAGCAAATCATCTTTCATAGCTAGTATTGCTGGACAGTAGTTACCAGCAGTTTTGTCTCATACATAGATATAAACTTGCTTCCTCTTGAATCTTTGTAGACTTGTCATTTGTTCTATTAGTTTTAATTACCCTTAAGTGACCATTGCCTTGTATTCCACATTTCTAAATCAGGAGAAGGTACATCAATGCCGCCTTCTGTCAAAATGTAGTACCTTTTTTCTTAGGCTTGAAGGAAAATCAATTGGAAGGTAAACAAGCAGTGAACACTCTTTGCCCCTGTTCTGGCAAACAAAGGTAGAAGTTTTTATCACATGAGTTTATCTTTTGGCCTTCAATCTAATTAAATGATATTAAAGATTTTATTGATCTGGTTACCAAAGGTCTTCTAAACTCACGTTTCACAAAAAGGCACAGGCAATATCTTTTCTCCAAATCTTTCTTTTTCTCCACTTCTTCAGCGCTTATTTTTTTTCTTTTTGGTTTCAGTGACTTTTTAAAATTTTTTAGTGGTTTGGCTTTAATTTTTTTTAAAAGGTCTTTTCTACCAGTTCTTCACCATTTGCCCTATTGTTTTGACCTGGAGTGTTTTCCATCCCTCCCCCTCCCCAACTGTAGCCATTTTTCGTATCACTTCTCCCCTCTCACATTTTTCCTTTCTGTAAAGGAGAATTCCTGCTCAACCTTTTTACTGATATTGCTCCTGCTCATGAGACAGGGGCTCCTAGAAATGAACTGGCAATTCTTGTCTCTCCTTTCCCCTCCAAGGCCACTGCATCACCACCTTCACGTGGACCAGATTTAGATATTTGATTTGCAATGTTGTTCCAGAGTCCTCCTCATTACAGCTGCAGCACAGGTAAGTGATAGACAAGGTCCATAATGATATTGAATACATCAAGTGGTCTCATGTTCTTGGGGAGTGCTAGGCTTAGAATGGTGGCATTTCTCCATGATTAAATCCTCCTTGCACCAGGCTTTATATTCATTACTCTTAGCAACGTAAATTTACACTATCCTCCATTTCATCAGGAGAACAGCCAAAGAACATTAGCCCTTCAACGATGAAATGCCAGAACACTGAAAATATGGATTGAACACCTCAGACTGTCCTCAGATACCTCACCTTTAGAATGGTGATGTCAACCCTCCTCCAACTTCTTAATAAATTAGATATTTAAGCATGCAAACATTTGATAGTTCTGTAGCCTGGAGCCTGTCATGAACTTTGGACATCACTCAGTGTTGAAGGTGTCTACCTGTTCTGGCATTTTAAAATTACACTATAGGAAATTCCATCACCCATTCAGTGCAGCTTCTGTAAACAAATCCTTCTTTGCATAAAGAACACCCGCAATTTATCTTTCAGTATTTTTCACTTGCCAGGCAGGATATGCATTTCAGTTTTTTTATTTTAACCTGCTGATTTCCAAACCAGTAGAAAACCAAATTTGTAGGAGAGCTAATGCACTTCTCAGAGGCATCCAAAGGCCACTGATGGCAGCAAAGTTACATTTAACATGTGAAGTTCCCCAGCACACAATCTTGGAAGCAAAGAAAAACTTCTTGCCCGGTTAGGAAACAGGATGAAAGCCTACGAGTAAAAATGGAAATGGAAAATCTAAGTGGGTTTGTGAAATGATGAAAGATTTCAGTAAGATCTACATGAACCAACTAACAAATAAATCAGCTACAAATGTATGAGTGTCTGAAAGAAATTTCAGAGGTATCTGTGTTGTGCTTCAAGATTTCTTGCCAAAGGTTTCCAAATTACGACCCACAGATCTCAGATGGTCTTTAGAAAACTGAAACAGTACAATGTTAACTTTTTTTCTGTTCTTATTTGATAAATTGCTGTAGTGAGAACTAAAAATAGACTACATTCCTGGTATTACTTTTTAATGCAAGCAATTACAGCAGTTGCCACATGCCAATATGGAAATCTAAATGGGAAGCATGGTGACTCAGGAGGCAAACCTTTCTGTTAATATGCATTTATTCTACACATGCATCTTGCTCTTCTCCCTAATGGCTGCCCTTCTAATTTCTTTTTCTGCAGCTTTCAAGATATCCTGGAGAATGACAGAGTCTCATGATGCTTTCCTTCCACCAGGCTTCCATGTGAAGTATGGTCACATAATCCTACGTGGAACAACAGCTGCTGCACATCTGGAGTTAGCCTCCCCAAAATGCACAAATACAGGTAAAGGGCAAGACAAATGTGCTATAAACCCCAAATTAGCAAATGGTTCATGTGTGGATGAAGCACTGAAATTTGCTTAGTGCATTACAAAGGATAAAGACAAATAGCCTGTAATTATTTTGTCCAGATGATTTGTTGGTACAGACACTATTTGCAGGGAAAAAATGGTGTGGGGTTTTTTTGTTTTGTTTTGTGGTTTTTTTTCCCAAAACCATGCCATAATTCTCCTGTATTCAGAAAGTAGTATGTCTGGGTGAATATAATTGATTTTTAAAATTTGTATAGCTGTTGTTCAAAAAAAAGTTGATGAAATATGTATGAAATATGTATTTATACGCTCTAGTAATTATATATACTCAAAAATTTGTAACAGAAGCTATGAATTGCGCATTGTATTAGCATTTAGAGCAATGTTTTAATGTGTTGCAGATATTATCAGTTTTATATGCTCATTTATTAAACAGAATTTAAAAAGCAGTATTGAAACAAAATATTATGAGGCATTTTATACAGGGTTTTCTCAGAGTGGATCTGCTGAATCTTAACTGAAACTGTTGGTAGGAATAAAAAAAGAATCAATAGATATTCTGAGCTCTGGTGACACTGATTTAAAGGAGCAGTGGCTTTTTACCTATTACTCTTCATTATGATTTGCAGGAATGTGACAGTTAAAAGCCTCAGTTATGGCTCAGAACTACACACAGCTCTCCAAGGAGTTAAATATTCCACTTGACTGTTGTTGAAATAGCTATTGCCATAATTCATGATAATATCTGGCCTAAAAATTAAAAAGAGAATGCAGAATTTTTTTCCCAAATCTACCAATAAATTAGTGATGGAGCAGCCACCAGCCTGCACACTGTGGGTTCCTCTTCCACCCCCAAGATCAAGTATAGCTCTTCTGCCTTGAAATACAGCAAGTAACCAGCACGGCACCAAATTCTCCACAGTCATTTCCCAGCAAAATACATTTTATACGGCAACTCTGATTTGTCATTGTGCCTACAGCTGAGTAAGGGGAAAAACATGCAAACAGGCTGGAAATAATTCTATAGGACTTGTCAACATGCAGCAGGCTCATAAAGGGAGACAGATGAAGGCAATATGTACATTCCTAGGAGGAGATGCTCAATGGCTTTTAAATATATGTATCTTCCAGCAATAAAAAAAAAACCCTAAAGACCTTTAGAATAGATTATTTCCTCTGATTAATCTTCTGCCACAAAACAAATGTTTCAAAGATTAGAAGCAGGTATTAGAAACACTGCTAGGGCTTGAATTCTTGACATTTCTAAAAAAATTATTGTACAGACGGGGCTGAGAATTAGCCTTATTTCGCTAAGCATCCCAAACACAACAGAGGTAGGTACGTTCTGCAGAATCACATCCAAAACAAGCTAATAAAATAAATGTAATGGTATAGCTTCACACCGACTTCAATACCTTTTTGTGCTTGGCTGTATTTACACAGGGCACTAGTAAGTAAGGAGCCAACCTTACTGTTGCAAAAAAGGAAAAGTTGGTTTGCTTCTCCCTCTGCCGTGTCACGCGACAGAGATGCACGGGAAAAGAGCAGGCCTGCTGCCCAAAGCTTTGGAGGGGAAGAAACAGAAACTCTCCAGCTCTGCACTGTATCGCAGCTTTTTTTTTTTGACTCCTCCCAGAAGTTCCCAGCCCAGTACCATGGGAGTGAAAGCCAAGGACTGATGCTCTCTTAGTCTCTTACTCACTACTTCTGTACTTGAACCAGGCACAGGCAGCTGCGTTACATGAAGCTTCACCATACCTGATATGGGTAAGAGAGATTTTTTTTCTTTGCTTTCCTATTTTGCTAAGCATCCCAAACACAACAGAGGTAGGTACGTTCTGTAGAATCACATCCAAAACAAGCTAATAAAATAAATGTAACAGTATAGCTTCACACCGACTTCTCTTGTGTTCATTAGTAATAGTAATATAAGATGTGAGCAGATGATGGGCAAGAGATGGAAACTCCTACGAGATGCTGAAAATTAAAGTTTTTGTAATTCTGTGAGAACTAAGGTAACTCAGCACCCTGTGGGGCACATCCTGCTAAAACAACCCCATGGCAGTGCCTAACCACAAACAACATAAGAAATTACCAGGATGACTTCATCAGTAAAAATACATTTTATCTAATAATAATGATGACAACCTGTTGCTACACAACACAAGCTGTCCTATATTCTGAAAGATAAGAACTAGCAACAGGCAAATTCAGCATGTTGTATTTCATAGTAAGAAGTAAAGTCCTACTGTCTCACGTGAAATAGAGGCGGATGACTGCAGCCCGTTGCATGGATGCATCTACTATTCTTCAGACGTTGAGTGTTACTCCAGCACACACACGCAGTCAAAGCAAAGTGAGCCTGTTCCCATTTATAAAGACTAGACAGGCAGACAGAGAAGAGGATAGGCTGAATGGAAATGGCATTAAGAGGTGCATTTGCCAGTGTTAAATAACAAAATGTTCCAAATTATTAAGATAGAATATGATTTATAACTAATTTTAAGTCTTGAAATCCTGGCATTTCAAGAAAAGTGCTGTAATTATTTTACGCTCAGGAAACCTACTAGGTTTTTCTGAAGCTGACATCTTCAACTATGTACGTTGAAGGCTGAGCAATGAATCATATGTATGTAAGACAATTTCACGTCCAATATTGAGTCAGGCACTACAGTCATAACTGAAGACTCCAATTCTACGTATCTTTCTCCAGTACAGAACACGAGATTATATGAATGGCAATTCAACAATAAGTAACAATCTCGTAGGCATTTTATTTTCTGGTTTGATAAAATGGGAATAATTGATTAAAACCACTAAGCTTCCATTTTCACTCTCTGAGTTTAGTACCGCAAATGATTAAAAACCTTTTGGGTTGAAGTTGTGAAGATAAATAATGTAAAGATAAAGTAAGACAGGCTTTAGCATTCTAGGAGTGATATAATTGAGTAACTTCCCCTGTTATTTGATGCTCAACTTTAAACATTTTAAGTGATGCCCTAATGCAATTAGTATGAAGAAAATCATGAAATCTGCTTGACATCATGGATATTTTTAATTAAGCTCACATGTGTCTAATGGATACTTCCTCTGTAAGTGTCCCGATGCTGATGAAGTCAGGCTCTGGTGATGCCTGGTCTACGGACTGGGGACATGGCGGCAGTGTGTTATCCGAGGCTAAGCTTAAAAAAGAATCACAGCTCAGAGATATCTTCTATGCAACGTGACTGTTAAGGGAGGTTATAAGTAGCCCATACATCAGTGTGGCTGACGAAGTTTGTTTCTTGTCTTTGCCTCCATTAGGCTTGTCTGTCCAGGTTTGTGTCTCTGTATGTTTTGTTTGTTGCTCTCCCCCTTTACTCAACACCTCCTTTTGCACCGAAAAGGGTCCTTGACCAGATACCCCTAAGAGTGCAAGTGCCCATTCACCCTTGTAGAGCAAGGCAGCCTTTGCATCCTCCTTGCCCTTCCAGGAGGACTTGGATCAACCCAGCATCACCCTCTTGCTAGGTGAAAAGGCCCTTCCACCGCTGTCACACCTTGGATCGATGGAAAGGCCTTGCACGGTCAATCAGATTCATAGAATCACTTAGGCTGGAAAAGACCTCATAGACTCCAACCGTTAACCTAACACTACCAAGTCCACCACTAAACCATATCCCTAAGCACCTCATTTACACATCTTTTATATACCTCCAGGGATGATGACTCAACCACTTCCCTGGGCAGCCTGTTCCAATGCTTAACAACCCTTTCAGAGAAGAAATTTTTCCTAATATACAATCTAAACCTCCCCTAGAGCAGCTTGAGGCCGTTTCCTCATGTCCTATAACTTACTGCAAAGAAATGAACATTTCCTTATTACAGTTTGTGTACTCTGGAAGAACAGAGAAGCCTGCAGCTCTGCAGTTGTTGCAGATGTCAGGATTTTGCAGTCCTTTCCACTCTACAGTCATCACATTTAATCAATTAGTGCCCAGAAGGGAAACAAACACTCCGTTATTGGCTCCTACCATACTTCCAACATCTTCTTATTAATACACACACCACAAATGTCTCTGTTCTGCACAGTTCAGGCCAACACAAATCCCTACACAAGCAAGATGATCAAGTTCAAGAACAAACAAAAGCAAAACTAGAGGGGACAGTCTTCTCCGAGGACTAAGCCAGGGTGCAAGTGCATCCGTGCGCGCTCCATTACATGCTGTATCTTCATAGGGAGCACCTCATCTTAGAAATTAAGTAGGTAACACTGCAGGACACAGTACATTTCTATAGAATCATAGAACAATTTGGGTTGGAAGGGACTTTTAAAGGTCATCTAGTCCAACTCCCCTGCAATGAGCAGGGACATCTTCAACTAGATCAGGTTGCTCAGAGCTCCGTCCAACCTGACCTTCAATGTTGCCAAGGATGGGGCATCTACCACCTCTCTGAGCAACCTGTGCCAGTGTTTCACCACCCTCATTGTCAAAAATTTTTTCCTTAGATCTAGTCTAAATCTGCCCTCTTTTAGTTTAAAACCATTACCCCTTGTCCTATCGCTACAGGCCCTACTAAAAAGTCTGTCCCCACCTTCCCTATAAGCCCCCTGGAAGTACTGGAAGGCTGCAATAAGGTCTCCCTGGAGCCTTCCCTTCCTCAGGCTGAACAACTCCAACTCTCTCAGCCTGTCCTCACAGGAAGGTATATCATTCCTTTGACTATTTTTATGGCCCTCCTCTGAACCCTGCAAAACCTCCTCCCCTTCTCCTGCAAAACGTCTTTAGTGAGTTACAGCTGCCAGCACTCTGTCTCCAACTGCACGCTCCCATCTCTAAAACTCCACTTCCCAGATACCTTACCACTACCCTGACAGCTCTGCAAACAGCCACGGCATCTGGCTCCATTGGGGATCTTCCAGTTAAAATTTACTGTAAACAATTTAACAGTTTGTGGCAATCTGGGAAACATTTGGATTGCTTCCCTAGAAAACCTAGCTGGCTCAAATCCTCGAGGTTTTTCTCTGCCTCTTCCTTCCTTAGCCTGCAGACCTAAAATGCCAGATAGCGGAATGCCTTTTTGAGGACATCCACCTCCCTTTGCTGAAAATAAACTTGGAAACAACCAGTGACGGACTGCTGCAAAGGGCACTGACACAAAACTGCTGGGAGAAAGCACTGTGAATGCCTACGTGTTAATGCGTTGATGACTATATACTGCCATCCATAGCTTAAAAGGTAACCTTGCACAGTTCAGCTACTGTTAAATAGCTTAACCATATGCTTGCACTAAACTGCTGAATCAGCTCACACTGCTGAATTAACCCATCCAACGCTCTTTCCTCCCAGCAAAGAGAACCAAATTGTTGTTAACTGAGCTCTGAAAAAACGCTTAACCCAAACAAAATCAGCATTAAGTTAATTAACAATTAAAAATTGTTGTTAACTGAGCTCTGAAAAAACACTTAACCCAAACAAAATCAGCATTAAGTTAAAAAGAAAAGCTTTGTAGGCTCAGCAACCCTAGGAACCCTATGCTAAAACAACAGAGCGTTGTTTCCTTGTTCCCTTCACAAGAAGGGAAAGAAACCCATCTTTGTCCTTAGTTCGTGAGAAAAGGCAGTCTTGCTTATCCTCTAACTGGAAAACTTAGCAGTTTCTCCTGCAAGCCACAGAAAAAAAACAAATGTTACACAGCAAACCAAAGAGCAGACTGAAAGATGTATCAGTTAAAGCAGAAAACAGATTTTTTTTTAAAGTTTGATCATCATTCTTTCAGCCAAATGTATTTCCTTTGCCAACTGTACGGCACACTGCTCTGCTCTATTTGTTCAAATAGTTTAATTACATTTTTACCTCCTCCTATTTTGCAAAACAAGTGCCTCCCCAGCTCCCTCTCCTGATATACTACATACCTGCCCACCTCCGCTTAAAAATCGCTGCTACGACATCCCTCAGCTGTTGTTCGAACGGGGACCGTGCTCCTACAAGCAGAACGAGGAGGTACGCGGCGGCGGCAAAGCCAGAGGCAGAAGCCAGCTGTGGGGAGGGAGCCCGGCGAGCAGGAACAGGGGTGGGAGCTGCCGGGCTGCTTTGTAGCTGGAAGGTGACAGCAATGGGCAGAGAAGAGCCGCTGCGGGGCTGCCTGCCGCAGACCTCTGCTCCTGCTCGCCAGGCTGTGTGAAGGATAGCTTTACACCAGCTCTGCATCATTCAGCCCGGCTCGAGGCACCTTCCCTGAGGTCTAGTCTTTGAAACCCTGCTGCAGAGGGCAAACGTGAGTGTTATTTTCTTAAAAAGCCTTACTAGGCTTCTGTGCATCACCTTTGGGGCGTACAGTGCTCATCCCAGTCACAGGTGTATCACCGTTAGCCCCTGATAAGAGCTCTCGCTCAGTATTTTGAAAATACCTTTAGGATCTGGAGGCTCAAGATTCAGCTTTGAGCTCTGCTACAACTTTAAACCAACAAATGTAATTTCAAAATATCTTTCTTTTAAAAACACACCAATGACCACAAGGCATAACAAGGACATGGCTAGGTTTTGAGGCAACTGAGGCCAGAAAGCCTAAGATTTCATTTTGCATTTTAAAAATACAATTTAAAAACTAACTTTGCCTTAGTTTTGGAGGAAAAAACCCAACAAGATAAGCTTGGTAGGTCAGAACGTTATCTTCTGAACGTTCCCTAGAGAGCTTATTTGTTAAAAAAATAAACTTAGCTCCATGCACTTCTGAGCTCTGTTACATTAGTATTCTCCTCTTAATTAGAGATTTTCAGGAGCCTGTTATTTGTGAACACGAAGAAACTCACACAAACTTTGTGAAGCCGTACCTATTCTGTTATTAAATAAAACACCCCAAAGATTTGATTATAGATCTGTCTGGCATGACAAATTCCAAAACCAGTTAATGGCTGAAGCACAAACATTGTCTAGCTTCCCTAATAGGAAGCTGGATAATTGGGTTTGTCCATAAGATCTGTGTGAAAGCAGACTCCATGCATGTGTAATTTGGCTGAGTACGTCCTCCACAGAAAAAAAAGTCTTGAAAGAATCTTCAAGACCATTATATTTTAAAGCCTGCTCTGCATAGCTTTTCTTAATTATACCTATGGCTAGAATTAAAAAAATTAAAGAATATGTACTCAAGAAGAAGTGTTTCACATCAGTTTCACTGGTTTGTCGTAAACCTGCACAGAACTGAATTCAGTAGTCACATCATCCAAACGTGAAATACAATATCCTGCAAAACTATTATTATTGAGAAAAGAGTACAGTTTTCCCAAAACTTCTACAGTTTTTAATTCAATGTGCATATATGTATCACATGGCAGTGTAAAACAGAATATCTTAGTGCATGGGGTCTGGCGGGGATGGGGTTAACTTTGCCTATAGCAGCCCATGCAGTGGCCGGGAGGGCGCTGGTAACCCACCCATGCAGTGCCCGCTCAGCACCAAGGCTGTCTCTCCAACACCCTACCGAAGGGCCAGTAGGCTGGGAGTGGGCAAGAGGCTGGGAGGGGACACAGCCAAGACAACTGACCCCAGTTGACCAAGGGGATACCTCATGCCTTAGGAGTCCCGCTCAGCAATAAAAGCTAAGAGAAAGGAGGAGGAGGGAGGCAGCCGTTATGAAAGCATTTGTCTTCCACTGGGGCCCTGCTTGCCACAAAGTGGCTGGACATTGTCTGCTGGTGATGTAGATGTCGTAGAGATTACGTCTCCTTTGGTTGAGCTTTGCTTCCACACACAACCTTTGCTTTCTTTCATCAAACTGCCTTTATCTTGACCCGTTGTTGCTGTTTAGCCCCAGCCGGCAAGAAAGCACCACGCAGC